CGAACTGCTAGTGGCATTCTTCGGACTGCCATGTGATATGGGATATCCCTGCGCCCACGTGGGGTAATGAACGTGAGCTGCGAACAGTCTTAGCTGGCCGAGTCGCTCAGCTCACCCTGCCGCCAAGGCCGTCTCCGGTCCCATTGCACAGCAGTTCTTGAGAACGCCCTTTGCCAGCGAGCCAAGTGCCCCGTTCGCGGTGGCACCAGTGGGCGGACAAACCGCATGGTATACAATGGCGGCAGTTGGGTGCACTCGATCGATTCGCCTGCAAACATTATCATCTCTTTCCTTCGTATGTACCCGATTTGTTCGGCCAGTTTAAAAGATCTCGCGAAGTGCTCCTGTTTTCCTTTCTTTTCAATTTTTTCATGCAAAATTGACGGGCAAGCTAAGAATTCAATCGATTGTACGAACTCTTGACATGCGTGTTTCTGAGCACATCTTATCAGATGCACTTCATGCTTTTGCCCTTCGCTCGATGGATTGATGCGTTATACTCAAAGAAAAAGGTCCTTAATATTCATCTGCAGCTCTCTCACCACATCCTTCCCTGCCCGGCAATCCAAACGGAATTTCAGCTGTAGTATCCTCTCGGCTCGATACTTTGACCGTGAATTAGGCCGGCTGCTTGTCGTTTTTGCAAGATGTGTCCTTCTTATTTGACGTCCACAGCTTTCAAATGCACAACTTTGCCTTCCTTTCAAGTATTTGGATGATAAGTTTATCGAATGTTTACATCTTACCTTCCTCTTCTAAACCATTTTTCCCTTGAGGACACCAACTCAACCTATTCGCAAATCTTTCACTAGTCTTACTTTTTTCGTCAGAACTTTCCCCATGGGTTATTCGTTACCTGTATTACGCAAAATGGGTAATTACTCCCAAGCTACCTGCCACCCCGCAGAACTCAACAATCTTTTTTTGCCCCCGTTTTCGAAAACCCACTGCTCTACTTGTGGTAATATCGATGAGGCCGTATTAGAGCAATGACACTTATTTTTAAGAGGTAGCGCCATCACTGGCACCAGAGTGAACGACACTTGTTGCCACCAAATCCGGTGTAAATTTCTGTATGGGGGTTATTTTGTGTCCCGATTACGAATATGGCATCCATTCCTGGCGCTGACGCCATTTGGCGCTTATTTTTCATTCGTCTGCGCCCCTCACTATTAGGACCGCGGTCAGACCTAACCATAAGCCTTTGGGAGAGGAGGGCTCTGAAGTAAGTAAGTCAAAGACCAAAACTTGTCCATCTCATTCACTGTTTATCTTTTTGCTACTTTGCTTAATCACCTCTCCCGGACCCCATCCACCAATAGGCTTAGCCTTGGCCACCATAAGTGAGAGAGCCCTGGAGCGCTGAAAAATTGCGTTTATAGCGCTTGTTTAACACATTGCGTAACGCGTGCGCCACCATGTGGCGCACGATTTCGCACAAAGGAGCCTAGTTTTATATAATTCTAATTTGACATTTTTGAATGTTCCCGAAGTGTTTGCACTCATTTTCATGGTTGGGAAACCTTACGCGTCATCACAGATAAAGTTGTTGGAAGATTAATGGTGATTCATTTTTGAAAAATATAAAAAGGGTACGGAGGTGCTCATACAACGGCGGTCCGCAATGTGTTAAACAATTATGTTGTCGCACTTAAAACACCAAAACACCAGAGAGCTCCACACATAATGATCGAGAACCAACCCGTCATGACAAAAGTGGCGCCAAAACCAGAAATGAATGTCGTTTTCGTAATCAGGGCATCGACACCCCTATGAGTAGAGTTTCGACAATTTTTTTGAGATTTTGGGTGTGTAATAGTCGATTGGTGCGCTCTTTCTTCGTCTACCCTTTTTCTCAAGGGTTTCGATGCCTCGAGGGGATTGTACTAAGTCATAGCCTTCACGATACTTAGTACTTAGTGCACACTATTGAGATCTTTATATATGTATGTCATTTTTGTTGAGAATTGTCCAGCAGTCATTCCCCTGATAAGAAGGGACTTAAATTTTGGAAACTTGAAGGGCAGCATCTACGCTACAGTTTCATTTTTTGATTGTATTAGTGATTTAACATATGAAAGTTCGAGTTTTTCAAGAACTCGTTTCACCTAAATGGACTCGTCTATAATTACATGTAGCAAGCCACCTTGCGTGGGCAGAAAAGTGGTGTAGCGCGGTAAGTGGCACGCGAGCGTCCGAGGATCAAATCCTGGGTCGTGAGTCGCCCGGGCCAACCAAGCCCCCTCCGGGGTCGGTTAATTGGTACCAGACTTGTCTGGGAGGATAAAAACACTGACTTGTACATCGGCTGGCCCCCGCAAGTCATTGTATAGGCCACATCGCATTCAAACGCCACTACGAATGTACAAATGGAAGTAGAATGCGTGCCGCATCCCAAAAAGGGATTGATCAACGGCAAATGCTTTATCCTTTATCCTTCATTAACGAGTCTTCTACACAGCAGAATTTTTCTGTTCAGGGACAGAATGGAAATGTGTGAAAGATAATTCTTCACGTTGACACGTTGCTCACATCACAGAAAGTAGGTACAATTGCATTTGACAAGGGCAATACATCTGGTAAAATCATAATTTTCGGTAAAGGTAACCTAAAAAAGGCTAGCGATATGTTAATCAAGAATATAACTTGCATATTTGGCGTCAGTTTGTCGCTGAATAGACGTGTAAGTAATTTTACAATGGATTCAGCGGTAAAAAGTGGTGGCGCCAGCGTGTCGCTAAAAATGAAAGGCATGTTTGTGAACGGGAGGCTCTCATTAATCGGGCTTCGAGTTAAATGAAGGGTTGGAATCTTCAGCTTTTCTCTCTCTTTGTCCTCGATATGTCATTTGTCAAAATTAGTTTTCTGTGCCTTACGAGGTTATTTGTTGTGCTTATTCAAATGGCCATGCGTCGACCTGATTTCTCGTCTTCAAACGAGGATGGTTCCACCGTTCGAGCAGAGTTCACACAACCGATCACTGTTCTATGGGTGCGGTTCGTTATGACAGATAGCGACTTGTCTGTCTCCGGTCGCGAAAATTTCTTTCACTGGAACTCCCAGGCCCACCACTGATCAGGAGCCGTCAGGTATGCTTTCCAGAACTGGACAGGGACTCTGTTTGGTAGGGTATTGATCTCGGTATATTCCCTGGCCCGATTTGCATGTCAGAGAAGATATCCCCGAGAACCGATGGGCGCGCCTTTCCACGAGAGCTTTCCGGGAGAGCATACCTTACCATGATGGGATCCCTCTCCTATTTGGGGAAGCATACCTTACGGCCCAGAGGTGGAGCGGGGTTTTGTAGCGCAAAAAGTTCCGCATGGAGAGCGAAGAAGTCGGTTTTGTCCATATGTGTCACAGTGCAATGCTCTAGTGTGGCAGCGAACCTCCGTTCTCTAAGTGCACGTACTCTGAAGACGATAATTCATAGGAAACCTTAGGCTATTGAAATTTCGTTAACACCTCATGGAACGCGCCACAAGACTAGCAGAATGTATAAGAGAGTCCGGCTCCGGGGCGGGGGTTGCATCCATCACTCCGGTATGTCTCTCGCAGTATTATTTGCATTATTTGCTCAGTTTTGTTTACAGCACTGTTCTGCTTTTTATTTATACTTTTAGTGTTATCTTACACACTGCGTTCTTTTATATCCTTGCATTTTGACTGCTACAAGTTCTATCGACTTTGTTGAATTTTCTCAACGTGGCTGTCTTGCTCACCGCATCTTCAATAAATAAAATCCCACAGGGAGGAAAACGGCGCCGTCGGACGCTGGACTGGCTCGTGTGGACGAACGCATCGCCCTTTGTTGGGAAGCTGCGGCAACCCCTTTTCTCTGTGCAGGCTTTGCAAGAAATATTGACACGCGTAGTCTAACTCTCTTTCTCACGGTATTCGACAGGAATGTAGGTTAGGTATCGGACGCATCTGACATGAAGTTTACGGTATACACTCTGTTTTTGAACTTCCATCTTCTAATACATAACGCTATCAGTTATCGGGTAGACTTATCTGAATACGTGTTGAATGGTCATACAACCAAGCAAAGGAGGGCAAGCAAGACGGGTCCTTTCGCTCCTTTGGCACTGATCAGAAGCGCGCCGAAAACATACCACAACTGACTTAACTCTTCGGGTCATCTCCTTCTGCACAAAACTCAAGCGCTGGGAATGTACTATTTCATTACTTCGTTTGGTGTTTCAGTCGAGATTCCATTTTTTGCTTTCCAAGATCGACCCCGGCCCCGAACGGAAAAAACTCCCGCGCCCCACTCTTTCCCCTGTACCTCCGCTCCGCCTTTCATCGAATTCTTCATTTTAGCCTCATTTCTCTTCCTCTCCGTCGTCTTTGCCCCATGACCCATTTCCAATGTTTCCCATCTTCGATCACGAAAAGGCCAAGGGTAGGGTCTTATTGAAGGGGATGTAGGGCCAATGGCGTGGTGATGTAGGCATATAGTGCAGTAACATTCAAGGTCTTAACAATCAATCGCCATGAGAACTGATGAGTGAAAAAGGAACGAGAATGAGTGCGAAAGAATGCCGCTTGAATGGAGTCGTTGATGGAGTTAAGCTCATCATACATTGATCTGATCGTTTTGGCCATTGTCTTCACTCTCACAGCACTGTGACTGTGAAGCTGATCTACCTACATATACTCCACATCTCGAAGTCAGATTAGGCGCGTGTCTTGGGTTTGACGTGGCGACGTCGCACTTGATGGAAGTTGCGCGGATAAGCTGCTTCCAGCATGCTTTGCTGATATCCAACGGAGTATGTTAGAAACAGCCTATCCATATCGACTTCTATCAAGTGCGGCAAAGGCCACGTCAAATCCTGCAGCCACGCCTATCTGACTTCGAGATATCGACTGTATGTTACATTGCGTTGAACGCGTGCTGTCGTGATAACTTGTCGTTCTTTATCTTGATATGTGGCATTACTTATGCTTTTATCGCAGGCAGCACTCGATTGGCTTCTTCATTTGTTACTCGTACAATGACCGAGAAGGTTGCAGAGCTACCCGTCAAACCAGACATTTGGAAACCGCGATGGGACCAAAGCACCTTCGAAGGTAAGCGTATTGATTGTACGGGACATGCGTGATAACCCGATATCACTGACATGTGTCATCTTAGAATTTCCTGCACGACTCTAGCCGTTTAGGGCTTTGACCTTTCACAATTGCAGAAGGGTGACGTGGAGCCCTACCTGTCTTGGAAGATGATTTTACTAATTCGAAGATTTGCATGTAATGCTGTGAACTAAACCCCCTCTCAAATACCTCTAGCTGGTGTTGGTGCAAATGCTCCTAGTCGGAGTTGGATAAGGTGGCGCACTCTGGTGAACATGGCCAATAATGCGCCTCCTATCTCGTTGTAGTCCACCCCGCACCTCCATATGTTCCGGTAGGACATAGCCTTAGCTTGATCGATCAATGATCGAGATCGATAGGTTTTTGAAAGAATAAAAAATTGTGCTTGAGTTTACAGCGACGCCATCCACCGAGTTAGCTTAAGGTGTAAAGGATAACATGTGGATAGGCTCACCAATGATCACTGGACCAAGAGAGTGACTGACTGGTACCAAGGGGAAAACAAGGCCCAGAGGCAGACCCCCCACCAGATGGGCAGACCCTCTCGTGAAGATGTACGGCCAGTTGTGGCGCAGAAGAGCCCGAAGCAGAGCGACCTGGAAGATGTGCGACCTGCGTTTCTGGCGTGCCCGGGACGAATAGCGGTCGAGAAGTAAGTAAGTAAGTAAGTAAGCAAAGGATAAGCGTCAGAAATTGCTCAATCCCTTTTCAGGATGACATGCGCGTCCGACTATTAATTGGGTTCTCAGTGGCATTGCTTGAATCGTAGAAGCAGTTGAATGTAGTTGACTTATACACAGATTTTGTCGCTTCTCGGCCTTCTGGCTAAGATCAAGGTTTAGTTTGGTTTAGTTCAGTTTAGTTTGTTTTTTGATTTGCTGGGCAGTCCGTAAACTTCAGCAGTTTCTGCATGTCCAATCGAACCGGTACTAATTAACAGGACCTAATGTGGGGCCAATGAAAATTTATAGCTAATGATCAGGGTCACTTGCTGATGCCCACATTCACACTCAAACTCAAAACTTGAGAGAAACTAAGACTTTAAGAATTAGCTCTACCTATTTTCAGGTCGTGCTAAACATTTCTTCACAATTACAAATCCATTAAATATCTTGTTGAGCAGTGAAACTCTAGAGAAAAGTCGAAAAATCGTATCTGATTACAAGTAAGTTGGAGGTCCGGCAGGCTCTATTTCAGAACGTGTGCTGCAGTATCTGTTACTTTTCTCAGGAAAGGTATCTATGACAAGGATCTCACAGTAGATGAACTTTGGCATGCAAAGCACGTCTACGACTCAGCTTATCATCCGGACACCGGCGAAAAGATGTTCATATTA